AGTATGCCGCGCAAGCCTGGGCCCCAACCCTGAAAAAAGATCAGGAACTCTTGGAAAATGTCCAGTGAAGGTTCACGAAAACCATTACAGGCTTGAGGGAAATTCTATATGAATAAAGGCTACGGACCCTGGGACTTTACCTCTCGAATATAGACGCCTCAAGGGTGATCTCATCGAAGTATTCCAACAGATGAAAGGGTTGTCCAACACTGACTCTCCCCTCTTCACTCTGGAAGAAAGCTCTAAAACGAGAGGGATAGCCTTAAACCGAAGAAACCCAGGGCACTTAAAAGTGCTGGAGCGAATTTGTTTTCTCCCATAGGATCACTAATGGATGGAACAAGTTGTATTTTTCATCTCAAGCAGTAGCCCAGTTTAAGGCCGGTTTGGATGCTGTGTGACCATCACTATCCCCTATCTTTGTCTAGGTTCATCTTACTCTTAATGTATTGTAACCCCAACTTTTCAACACCCTGACGTCTACCGTCTTTCCCCACCATAAAAAATTCAGTGAATTACTTTCCTCTCACTCTAACACTAGGGCAAGGATGTTAAATAAATCATTTTCGTAATTTGCAGGAGTAAATCTCTAATCATAAAGCTATCCGGAGGTTATCATCAACTCTGAGGACTTATCAAAGATCCTGTCCTCTACTCGCCCAATCCGCATTCCATTACCCATGTCACCAGTTGTAAATCTATGCGTCAGCCGACTGTTGAGCGGTTTTGCTTTCGTGAGCTTGAATAAGAGTATGTCTGAAGGCCGATATGCACAGAGACCCAGCTTGGTGATCAGTGTACCACGTCGTAGTGTTATCCCATAAGTGGCTCAAGCTCTGCAAAAGCGAGAGACAGGTGGGAATAGGAAGGCCCTATGTAAAACTGTGGTCAGTCCGATTGCTAAACCGAAATGTGGCAGAGTAGTTGGTGCATCCATACCTCATGCTGAACCCGATTGCAAATGTAATGGGCGAGCGGTCCCGTTCACCAAACCAAACATCACTGGTGCGACTAGATTCACCCGGTACTGCGAGAGGAAAGTGGTAACTGACCTATAGTGAACGTGAGTTGGAAGCAACAGACCTAACCACAGTCACCGAGGCAACCACATCTCTAAGTTACCCCCGTTATGCAAAACTCCTGCAGACGAGAAAGAGGTTCAATGGAATAAAAGAGGCAGGTAGTTATTTCGACCTGAAACGGATTGCGGTTGGGGCTTATCAACAGAGAGCAGTGGGTCGTAACTTAACCACCAACACCACCACTCTATATTGAGTCCTGGGGGCTGAAGCAAAGACGTTCTGTGCTGAACCCCAGATAATTTGAGTTACTGTCATGTAGTTACAGACCCACTAGCCACTGACACCACAATGACAGTGGTTTGACTTTGGGTGCTGCCAGATATGACACCCTTGGGACGTCTAGCAGAGAACTTCAACCTTGTGCTCCAACCTTCGATAGACAAGACGATTATGGTTGTTCACCACAAGAGACCAGTGCCACACGAGTACGGTTGTGTGTTTTCCCTTGCGTATGCACGGTTGAGCTTAGGCTGATCCGCAGTGTGAGCGCAAGACGTCTAACCACTATTGGGGTGAGTGGGCGAGTTTGCGAAAGCTTTTGGGAGACGGGTTTTTACAATAAACGCACCTCGGCGAAATGTTGTCATCTCCCCAATTATCTACTCTCGTTCTTCCCTTCGTAGTAGGAGCATGAATGACCTTTTTGCACCATGGCAACGCACCTGCTCACAGGTCCCATATCCTCGGCCATTTGCTATCTAAGGAACACATCCAGGAGGTTGGTCACCCACCCTGCGATCCAGACCTGGTTCCGTGTGACTTTTTCGTGTTCCCAAATGTCATGCGCATGACGCGTGGAATTCGATAGGAGTCACCAACGGCTACAGTGGAGGTCTTCGTTATACTGGTCGGACGCTTACCCAATTCGGTATGGTTGAACTGTTTCACCAAATAGTTTGAGCGCATGGAACTATATAAACGCTGGTAGAAATTACTTCGAGAAAACATAATGCTTATTTTTGTGTAACAACTAGAAGTTCTTGTGCATCCGGAAACTTTTTACTCAGCCCTCACTGCGTAAATACAGGTGTTCCGACGACGATGGTCAATTTTTATCCTGTTTTTATCATGGCGAAGATTCTGCCAGAAAAGGCCCAGTCTCACAAGGCCCGCTGCTTGGGCATTTCTTGGCTTCCGTTAATTATTCACGCTCGCCCCTGGAGAGGTCACTCCAGCAAATAAACACGTTGAAGGGCACTTCAATGGTCAAGAAATCCCGCTAAATGGACGTAGGAGTGAGGTATTTGGGCCTTGTTCCTGACGGTGGGAGAAGTCTTAGCAATTTACTGGACGGCTGCCGCCCACCTAAGCTGAGCATCCCCCAGTCAATAAGGTGGTGTCTCGTCGACGTTCCGCTTGTCTCGTTTGGTGCATGAGACTAAGGATCAATCCCGAACAGCGGACCATCAATTAACACACTAGCGAACATGACACTGAACCGAAACCCATCACGGCGAGAGTGCACCTTGACGTGGTTTGGTTGCTTGAGCGCCTCTCTAATCTAGCGAGCTACACAGGATGGCTTTTGTCAAGCCAGGAGATCTTATCATGCCTAAAAGGCCAACGGGTAAAGGTCAGACGAAGTCCAGTCTCAAGGTCCTCCTGGTTGGGGGTTCGACTAGAAGTTGCGTTTCAGTCGGTAAAAATGGTGGAGGAGTAATCAATCTAAGTAAATGGGCCTCCACTTCGCTTCAGCCACTGTCTTGTGTTTCGTTTCTTGTTAGAACTAAAAGCTTTGGACGAGAACCCTAATCTATCTCCTGCTTAGTGTCTGGACACCATCGCAGTACCCGTCCATAAAATCACAGTGCATACACAAACTATACATTTAGAATTTGGCAGCAATCAGTAAAGTTTGCTTCACTGCATTTCGCTATACGATGATGATGATGACTTGAGCACCCTCTCGTGTGTTCCAAAACTGACGGTCTTGACTAGGCGTCAGTTAAAGCATTCAATCCACCTTGATCACGAATGAAATTCATGTCTTTTTGCATTGATTTACCCGAAGAAACAGATAGTATCATTATTATTGTATTCCACACACATCTGACGCCAGACTATGTGCCAAACAATTCATGGTACAATAATCTTTATAAAAAGAAAACGCTCCATGATTTGCACGTGGGCTGAATATTGCCAAGTTGCCCAGGCCCAGGCCAAGAAACAAATGGCTTTCATTGAATGATTTGTACTCTCACGCATCCCTTGCAATACACTGAAAACCGCTATTCACCTTTTCTTCTATTTTACTGATATGAGTAATTAAAGAATACTGTATTTGGCCAGGGTTCGAAGAACCACAACTAAGATTATTTGCCAATTGTTATCATTATTGGTTATGGATGAGTGATCAACGAAAATACGATGAAGGTAGAGAATGATCCTATCCCGATAAGTACATATCCGAAAGCCTCAGTATGGTCGGGGTGGGTCTCTCGGGTTGTGGCCAGTCACCCTTTTGTCCCTTGGGAAACGCTCCTATACAACCAAGCTTCTCTCAGGGATACTGCGGAGGAAGTCTTTCTCACTGCCTTATCGTGGCGGAAGTGTTTCCAGACCAAATTGAGTACGAAAAGCCAACATCTGGGACTATAACCAAGTTGGTTAACCACTGGCAGTCCACCTAAGGAATTTGGCTAAAAACCCTGATCCCAAACCAACTAAGAGGTGTAGAAACCAAACACACCTAATTGTGGCAGTGGTCACCAGCTCAATTGGTCATCGAGGTGTATTGGGCACCTTGGATGTTTAATCCCGTCGAAAGGGCTTATGATCCGATGAACTGGACACCGGTCCCTGAATGAATTGCGGTTTTCACAGACCGTCCCTCTGCCTTACGAGTCAGGCTTTGACTTACCGAAGGCTTCGGTTGTAAATCCTCCAAGAAAATTCATCTGCTTTGAACTTGTCAACCTGGCAGTATCGCGTCCACAAGCAAGTCTCAGAAATTATTTAGTTTAAATAAAAATCATTGGATTTGTTTAACTCCGTCTGATCTCCGGCATGAGTGAAATAGAATAATAGTAATAATATCAGAGGCGACGTTTAAAATGATATCGGTTACTGTATGCGGATACGGTTTGTAGTTTATTTGGGTGATACTCGTTCATCTGGAAAACTGACCATAGGTGTCATTGTCTGTTTACGATGTCAAGAAAGCAGCACGCTATACTCAACTGGCTATGAGATTCTAAACGAAATCTTGAGCTTTTGATGTAGGAAAAATTTCAATGAAATCTCTGATGTAGGAAAACGTTTGAAAACACTAACGCCTGCGGGGCGAAATCTATGCAACAAGAAGTTTATGTACCAAAGATTTTGAAATCCGAAGATGTCTCCTTAATGGATTCAATGTATCTGCCACGTATGCACGTAAAATTCTCGCTTAAGGAAGTAATGCTGAACAATGTATGCCAGTTTCGCACTTGATTTCAAAGTGATATTCTATTTCAATTGACCATATGGCAATTATGGTGATTATTCAAAGTTTATTTTTCAGAGCTTTCTGTAAGAATTCATCACCTCACTCATGAAGCATATCCGACCTTTGGCTACAGTTGAAGTCTCCACTTTCCATTACCCGACGACTTTCATATTTACGCGATCATTTCTGGCGTAATTTCAGCGAATTATTTCTCATCTTTTTTGTTTGTAGTGATAGCTTTAAAGGTATTCGTAATCGGGAAACCAAGTCAAATGGAATTGGTTTGCCCAAGTCAGAATCATCCAGGGATTTATCTTTGTTGCAAGATTTTAAAGAAGCCGACAAACCACTGTCAGCTAACGAGACGCACTCTGTTCAGCACCCACGACGACCTGCTATTAATCAGAAAAAGTACTACTCTTTAGTGTCCCCTGTTCTACGCTTATTACGGGGCGAGGACTCCAGTTCCGATAGTGATTCTTCATCAGACACGGACAAGAGCGAATCGCAAATCATGTGCGACACTTTAAATCCAGCGCTTCCTTCAGAAGTGAAAACTCGATGCAATCCATGTCATCAGTCACCAGAAGCTGATAGTCTAAGTGACGATTTCGAGGACCTATACTCTCAATTAGCTAAACTTGGCTTACCGTCGGCTTTCGGTTCGGTAAGTTCTGTTTATGTAACTCATCCTATCTTCACTGTAATTCTCTTATAGACTAAGAAGCCGGAGCCCTATACCAACTGTTCGTAAGTTGACTGTTTTCGTCTGTTGAGTTTATGATAAGACCCGAGGTATTTGGTTCCTATCAATCTTGCTGAATGATCGTTTTTAGTACCCGACTCCACTCGTTTTACCCTTGTAGATATTTTGTGTTGTTTTGTATTTTATTGCATTGTATTGTAATGGCTCGTGCAGGCAACCATGCCTACATCTCTAAAAAACTTTTCAACGTTACGACGGAATAAAACAATCACATACAACGATGAAAGGACTTAATCAGAAGATCATCTTTGTAGATTTAAATTTAGTTCTCTTCGAATCTTCTTATCAGTTAGCATACGAGTCAGATCGGTACCGCTGAGTTGCGACAAATGTTTATGTAAGAGGGTAAGCAGCCATAATTGGATCTGGTCGCAGCGTGTGAACGGCAAGCAGATTGGTTAAGATTGAGCGGATGACTGGGGTCGTTACGTATCTTAAGGGCGAAATTCACACAAAGCAATATGAAGATCACCATTCTATGATTGGAGCGTTTAAGGAACAAGAGAAAAACGGTTGGTAATTACCAAACAGTGACTAAGAGCAGTTAATTTATTCTTAATTAGTCTAGAGAAAATAACGGATGAACAATTAAGTGTGACAGGAAAAATGCATTGATAAACAAAAGAGCATACAGTTGCATGCTCTACTCTAGATTGTCTTAGCCTACGTATATGAAAGGATAAGCGACGCAATATACCAACACGGGTTAGCACATGAGAAGACCACCGTAGATTGCTCTCTATGGTGACTTGTAATTATGTGTTATGTTAGTGTGTGTTCTGGTGATGGTAACGGAATCGATGACTGAGGGTTCCATAGGATGCTCGGACCGGGAAAGACTAAAAACACATTAAAATTATTTAGAGGCATTCAGCTGGAGACCCGATTGGTTCGAGATTAATTGCGCTAGTACTAAACTGCCAGAAAATAATTCCATATCAAATGGGTTTGAGATGGTTTGATGTAAAACCACATCATCAGCATATTCAAAGGTCTTTTCTGGCTGGTTAGAGGGTAAGTCACTGAATTTTGAAAATAACTAGAGAGAAAACACAACACCCTAAAGGACTTCAAGATTAATAATTAATGGTTTTGTAACAGCCGTTCGCTTTCGTTCTTTGAATGCTCCCTGGGAAATAGTCTTTTAACCACGACAGTAAAGTGATGGAGCAACCGAAGGACTGGAACTTTCGGAGAAGATATCGTGGAACAGAATCGAAAGCGAAGGAATAATCTAGGAAAACACGAAGAACGGACTTTTGGGAATCATCTAAAGATTTTCAAATAAAGTGCAGCATTGAAGATAGCGTCCAAAGTACATGTATTTGGCTTATACGCAAACTGAAGGGGGGGCGGTTGGGACTACCAGTCCGCAAGCGGGTGAGGATTGCGTACTCTGCTAGTGTAAATCTAGAGGTAGTGGTGACAATAGAACGAAAGCGTTTAGATGAAGTACTAGATTACGATGATTAGGGAATGAGAACAATGGTGAACGGTCTCCGGAAATCAGGGATTGAACATGTGTGAGTGGATTTATTATACTCTCTACCGCTTCACGATTCATATATTTCCTCTTTTAACTGTCCGTTCATGGTATCATAACATGTCGAATCCCAACGAGGTCCGAGCACAGGCACAACCCAGTGTCAACACCAGGGAATGAGAAATGCAACACACACCCACTACTTCCGATGCGTCACCATCACCCGAAACCCTATTTGGTCATTGTCCTTCGCTTTCTCGTAGTGAGTTAATCGCACAGGATAGAATTACGGCGCGTTACATCGCAAAATAACCCAATTTACTTGGGAATCTTAATCCCGTCGTAACCCTGTTTGTCATCATCAGTGCTTGATGCACTTGATGTGTGATGAGGCTCAGAACCGTGGTTTATTGGGAAAGTTTTTACCAATTTTATCCAACCAACAAAAAGCTAAAGTATCCTTCTTGTTTGATGATCTGCGTTACAATTAATTACGCGTAAGTGTACCAGTGTGTTTTTCAGAGGCACTCTAAACCGCGTCAAGTTTCGAACAGCCATTCAGGACGGTCGACTGCAGCTGCCATATTGTAACGAGAAGGCGAGCTGGCTGGGAAAACGTCTATTGATCCAATTCAAAAA